ATCACGTGAAAATTCGATAATTGCCGTGAGTGTTTTTGATAGGCTATATGTGATGAGCTGAAGAAACTAATATATTAGTGAACGAAAGCTATTTTCAAGCTTGAGCACGAAACTAAATAAAAAAGTTATAGCATTACATACCAAAAAAGCTGGATGGTACCTTTCTGTTTCCTCATCACTTACCTCTTCATGTAGGACCTGTTGGACTTGTTGTACAGAAATTAAAGAAGTTGTGATTTTTACCCGTCCAGTGGTACCAGTTTTCAGGCCTACAGTAGCCTGGGTAGCCCACGCGCGGTGCATGAACTTTTAACAGAACCAAAAATCGTCGAAACTGCAGCAAAATACAGCTGTTCAGTACCACAGTTCCTGTTGGCGTGGAGCATTTCACAAGGTTTGTTTTTTTTTTTTTGAAATTCGAAATTTCGTCAAGTATGTAATTTATTTTCCTAGAAGCCCTTCTGTCGTAATTTATATATTATCAAAAAAGTGTCACCGGAATCCACCCTCTTTTTTCTTGGTTTCTGAGACCGATATTATATCATCTTATGGTCAAGTTGCTAGAGACCTGCGTTTGTTTTGTCTCCAGAAGGGATTACCAGCTCAGTGGTTCTTCAGGCAGAAACAATATTGGCAAAGTTTTAGCTGTTTCGAGATTTTTTTGGGCATCACCGCCCCAACTGGCCCAGCTATTCCTGAATACTGCCCTTCTCAGACCACGATGAGGTATCTTACCGACTAGGAAAAGATCTCCGACATTATTTTAACACGGCAGCCAGAAAAGCTAGAAAGCGAAAATCATCTGTTGACGGGGTGTCGATGGTTTCCTGTTTCGATTAAATGGTTGAAAAAGAATCAGCTTCAGGAATCAGTGTTTTGCCACGAACAAGCAAACGTGAACATGTAATTGAAAATTTCAAATCTCTAACAATCAAAGTAAACGATGAGGATCTGCAGAGTGTTATCAGTGATACGCCGAGGAAGTACTGCTGGGATCCATCGACGGTAGCCTGATCGTTACAGAGAATGAATCGAACTGATCTCTGAAATCTGTATTTATGATATTGATTCTGTGATGTCTGATTTGATGACGAGGAAGGTTTCTCAATCATTTTTGTAACAGTCGCCCAGATTTATAGAAATTACTCCAATTTTATCGACAACATAAATTGAGTTTAAAAATGTCAAAATTAGATGTGGAAGGCACCAAAATCAGCTTTGGGGTGTAAAATTTCGCGGTAAAACTGAAGAAATTGAACAAAAAATTGAGTACCGGAAATAAGACCGAGCTATAAAAGACCAAGAAAATAAATTGAGTTTAAAAATATCGAAATTAAATGAAGATGCCAAAATCAGCCTTGAGGTGCAAATTTTGCGATAAAATCTATCCTTTTCGAAGGCCCTTGTACATCCATAATAATATTATTATGGCGCCGTTCTAGAAATACTCCGAAGAACCAGTACGAGAATTTGATGTTTGGTGATGTTGCTGGGATGCTCCTACATGTTAAAATTGAAGAAAGCTGGCAGTAATAATTTGAATTAACCATTTCCAGTGGAAGAAAAATTTGCAAAAGAGGGGCTAGCAGCGAGTGGTTTCGATCCACCGACCTCTGGGTTATGGGCCCAGCACGCTTCCACTGCGCCACGCTGCTTGTGTCATATGTGCTGAACTATCTTCTATATATACTATGGTCTATTGGAATAAAGCTATTACTGCACAGTACATTGAAGGTTCGGACCCCGCGGATGACAGTCAGTCCCTCTACGATTCGTTCATTCGCTTCGATGGTAAATTGGTACTGGCATATGCAAAGGGAATCAACCCCATCATCAGTTCTTGCTTATAAGCAACTCTCGAAAGAGGGAGACATCGACAATCTTGTCAGCAAGTGGTTGCTGTTGACATTTGCTACCATTCCTGGGCTACTTCCCGACGGCCACTGCCTTTTATAATCAGCCAGTACTGAAAGAATTCGACTTTTGATATATCATAGATTGTCAGGATAATCCCTCTATGAGGCGAAACGAATATAAGGACCACCATCAGGCTGTTGACAGAGGTCAATGCAGTACTAGGCAAAGTAACTGGAAAAG